AACAGTGTAAAATAGATAGATAGATAGATAGATAGATAGACCTTAGCGTAAAATAGATAGATAGATAGATAGATAGATAGATAGATTTTAACAGTGTAAAATAGATTGATAGAAATGAATATAGATAGATACATAAATAGACAGACCTTAGCGTAAAATAAATAGATAGATAGATAGATTTTAACAGTGAAAAATAGATTGATAGATATGAATATAGACAGATAGATTGACAGATAGACAGACCTTAGTGTAAAATAGATAGATAGATTTCAACAGTGTAAAATAGATTGATAGATATGAATATAGATAGATAGACCTTAGCATAAAATAGATAGATAGATAGATAGATAGATAGATAGATAGATAGATAGATAGATAGATTTTAACAGTGTAAAATAGATAGATAGATAGATAGATAGATAGATAGATAGATAGATAGATAGATCTTAGTGTAAAATAGATAGATAGATAGATAGATAGATAGATAGATAGATAGATAGATAGATAGATAGAGTAAATTGGATTTAAGATAGATAGATAGATAGATAGATAGATAGATAGATAGATAGATCTTGGTGTAAAATAGATAGATAGATAGATAGATAGATAGATAGATAGATAGATAGATAGATAGATCTTGGTGTAAAATAGATAGATAGATAGATAGATAGATAGATAGATAGATTTTAACAGTGTAAAATAGATTAATAGATAGATAGATAGATAGATAGATAGATAGATAGATAGATAGATAGATAGATAGATAGACCTTAATGTAAAATAGATAGATAGCTTTTAACAGTGTAAAATAGATTGATAGAAATGAATATAGATATACAGATAGATAGACATACAGAGAGACCTTAGCGTAAAATAGATAGATAGATAGATAGATAGATAGATAGCTTACACTGATATCTGTCTATGTATCTGTGTGCCCGTTTTTGAGTGTGGGTGCATATTCTTTGCTTCGCCGCGAGCGTGTAATCAATTGCCACGCATTTGCTTTAGGACCTGTACTAAAGTTTTATTGCTTTCAGTTTCATTGCTTTAAAGATCACTCGGCTCGTCCGAGAGGTGTAACTTGCCCTCAAGTGCAGTTCGCAACTCTTAAAAGAAACTGATCTCGAGATCTGAAGATTAGAACCGCCTCCATTACACCTCACTCCACGCACCTGACCTCCAACTCTGGCCACTTGACGCGTTTCGCCTCCCAATTCTTTGATCAGTGCTCAAAAATATAAACAGCTACACACGGAGAATGTGCATTAACACACACACACATACACACACCCACACACACACTTTTCCTTCTAAAAAACTGCTTCAGCTCTATACTCCTAACCCCTGTCCTTTCCTATGATAAGAAAACCCCAAAAAGTAAGCCTCTACCGTGAGTGGCTCTTGCATTGGGTAAACATTAGTAAAACAAAAAAATTAAATTTATGTATATATACGTACGTTTAAACGCACGAAAAATACCCTTGAACACGTGTAAACTGTCACAACTATATATCATTATCCCAGTATTGAGATTCGACGTATGAGGGTCAAGCAGATCAGTTTCCAGGAAACCGACAGCCCGACACCGGCACATGAGATTTGATTATAGTGGTGAAGGCTTCGTGCAGGACCATCCACACTTTTTGAAGGGACGAATACAGAGACCTGGTGCATCGAGTGCCACAAGGTTCCCAAACGACCCTCCGCAGGTTTTGAATTCAGAGTTGTCCTTCTCCAAGACCAGTTGCCATCCAAGGCTATAGAACGCAGTCTGTCCTGCTATTTTACCCATAGCTGGATGGAGAGGAAGAGGATTCATACCTTTCCCAAGGGTATTAGCACGTAAGTGAATGTAATGGATTCGACTAGAATTCGAACTCGGCTCTGCGATTCCTCAATCCAAGCCGCTATCTATTACTCCACCGTTATATTGTCATCCACAGACAGATTGTTTTACTGTATCACAGCTCCTTAGTGTGGCTAGACGTCCGATTGCTTCAAGCCGAGATCGAAACTCGAACGATCAGAGAGAATGGGAAATTTTAACGTTTTCTATACGAAATACACCAGTGGCCCGGAGTGCTCAATTCAGTTGAAGAGCAATGCGTTAATAGCAGTAGGGACCACTGTTTTTAAAATTACCTTTTTCTCAAGAGAGCTCAACCGGATTTCCTGAGAGTATATATATATATTATCATTCACAGACAGGCTGTTTCGCTGTATCACAGCGCTTCAGTGTGGATAGACGTCCGATTGCTTCAAGCCGGGATCGAAACCCGACCAATTTCGAATCAGTCAGAGATCCTTTCCCTAGGCTATCGTCGCAGAGATAAAGGGAAATATTAACGTTTTCTTTACGAAATACGCCAGCGGCCCGGAGAGCTCAATTCAGTTGAAGAGCAATGCGTAAAGACATAAAGAAAACAACAGTACGTAAGCTGGCACATAATATCACTGAAGGGAGGCAGGTGGCCCTTGACAGGGCTGACTCATAAAGATGGCCTAATCATTACACAGGCTGACAAAGGTGCTGCCACAGTGATCCGGGGAATCAAAGAATACCTTAAGGAGACAACAATCAGCTAACCGATAAACAAAAAACTACAAAAGCCTACCCACAGACTCTCTCTCTGAATATCCAAAAAAAATTAACACGCTAACTAAACATGATGCTTCACAACAAACTGACAATAAAACATGCACAACACTTACAGCCACAAGAAATAAAATGTATTTACACAATATTACAAAGGGTAATACTGTTAGTAAATCCAGGAACGCAGTTAGTAGCAATAACATATTTTGTATTTTGTATTGATGCGGCATTCACCCTGGGCGGATTGAGCCGGCTTCTTCCTGTTATGAGAAGAAGATTCTTGGGATAAATTACAGAAGTAGGGTCCCCAGGCCTACTCGGATAACGTTCTTGCTTGCCGCGGGGTTCCCACAGACGCAGAGACAGGAACGACCAGAAGCCGCCGGTTGCCGATGCAGACGCTCCTTGGAGAAATAACATATAGATATATACAGTCTCGAAGTAGGACTTCCTTAAAGTCTACGTGCTTGTAACTGTGACTTCTACAAGCGGCTACCTCACACTATTACTCTACCTCCAACTCAATCACCATCTCAGTCTTCTTACTCTCTCTACTCACTCTCTGACTGACTGTCTAACTCTGGTTATTTAACGGCAGCAGTCCAAGTAACACTCTGGTCGAGTCCACTTATATGAAAAAGGGGAGGACCCCATAACAGGTAATTCAAACATTGCTCTATCACGATGGACTCCTGTGGTCAATTTGATAGTAAAACGTTTCGACTTTAGGAGCGCTTTGCCAATAAATTTAATGAAGAATGTCATTGTCGTGTGGAACAACGTTCAGGAAGACCAAGCATCGTGAAGCGAAGGAAAAGGGCACTGAATAGGGAAGTAATCGGAAACCGTCGTCAGAGCATCAAAGATGTCGCCAACAGCATGAAAATGTCGCCATATGCGGTGAGAAAGACCCTGAAAAGGCTAGACTATCAAAGCAGAGTTGCAAGAAAGAGGCCCTTGATTTCAGAGGTTAACAGGTACAGGTGTATGGACTGGGCGAGAGAATTCGAGAGCAAAGATTATGAAATTTGACTGTCTGTAATTTGGGCAGATGAGAGTAAATTCTGCCAATATTCGAATTCGAGATAGGCTTATGTTTGCAGAAATCAGAATGAGACTTGGAACACCGAATATCTACAGGCAACCATGAAACATGGAGGGATTGGAGCAATGGTATGGGCGCTGTATGGTTTGGAGGAAAATCTGAGCTAATTCTTGTTGACGAGCAGTTGAATGGTCCATAATACTGTCAAATATTAGAGAAAGGATGACTCCCACTATTTGAAACCAATCAGATTGACAAGAATATTTACCTTTTTCAAGAAGATGGAGCGCAATGTCACACGAGCAAAGTAGCTGATATGTCCCGGAAAGGGATATATTTGAACGAAGTAGCTAAGTGGTTTTGGCTACTATAACCAAGTAGAATACGGTAGCAGTAATCGACTGGTACGCGTCGTAGTCGTGGGTAAGAAGTGTAGATCAATGGCGTAGTCCAATGGGCATCGTTGTAGACTTAGCTCTCAGACTAAGGCTCTTTCTCTGACTCTCACAATCACACTCCACCGAGGGGGAATACAGGTGTACGCATATTCCATTATATCAGTAGCAAAGGCCTGGAAGGAATCGCAAGGAATCAAGTCACTGCCATGGATAATCCAATAGAGCACGTTTGGAAGCACCTTCACCGAGAGGGTGCAACCAAAATCACATCAGTGGCAGCCCTTAAAGAAACGCTGCTAAAGAAGTGGCAAAATATGGCTCAGACGATTGTTAATAACTTGATCAAATCCATGAAAAATCGAATACAAGCACTGAAATGAAGGACCTACTCCATACTAGTTCCAAATACTGTTTATTTATGTTGTGTTGGGATTATGTAATTACAATTTGAAAATTGGATGTATTTTATTTCTCCTGACTAAAATTTTCTTAGGCCACTGTATATATGCAACGTGTTAAATTCTTCTTTTTCAGTTTCACCAGAGAACAATCTACTTAAATTTTAGATTGTTCTCTGTAGATTAAATAAAAGATTCATTTCACAATTCCCTGATGAAGGAGGGTACTACAGCCGAAACGTTGTGATACCAACAACAAAGATTTAGACTATAGTTAGCATATAAATGATATGCATATTAATGTCCTCATCCCCGGAAATTGCAATATCTACGGTTTCTACGGTTTATCGACTCTTTGCAGGTTGTTTTTTTAGATAATAATGGTTTAGTAATACAAGTCTTACTAATTAACCCATAGCTGGGGGAAAGATGCGGATTCATTCCTTTGCTAGGTATCTTTTGTGCGTAAGTGAATATAACGAACCCAAATTAAATTGGAACTCGACTCTTTGATTAATAATTCCGAGACGATATGCATTAGACCACCTGCACATCCAGGCTTACAGAAACTGGTATTCCCAAACAGTCAACCATCTAAGTACAGACCAGGCTCGACGTTGCTTAAATTCCGTGATCGTACTGGAACCGATGCTTCAACGTGATGTAGCCGTAAGCATTGAAATATTTTTTTATGATATGGCTTCAATTCAATAGGCATTAAAATTATTAGTCTCTTCAACGTTTATGATGGTTCCAATATAAATGCAGAGAATTATCATAATTTCTTGTACAATATTTTTTTGACTAGTCAGTGCCACAACCAAGAGGATTTAATCTGAAGAGTAGGTTCATGCAATACGATGCGTTTTCACATTCTGTGCCTATCTTGCCAAAAGAGAAATAAATTGAATAACACTAATTTAATGAAATCACCTCCGACCTCTCTAGATATGAACCCTTTAGACATCCTTAAAAAAGATGTATATAAAAGTCCCGGTGAATGAATGCCTTGAGAGATTATTCAGCCCTGACCTCAAGTAGAAATCTTACATACGATCCATCGCTAAAGATGCAGAAAAAATGGTCGGTCCCATGTACCGCTCCAGTAAGTACTATCCTTTACCTTTACAAGAGCCAGATCAGGACAAGAATGAAGGACTGTTGTCATATTTGGTGGGGGTTGTTGCCCTGTTTCTGACTTTCCAGTCTCGACAGACTATAAAAGAAAATCTTAGAATCCTTGGAGGGGACCAAATAATTTTCCACCCTCCAACCTTTCTCCTACAGACGACGTGACAAATCTCTCACTGGCCTACAGCTATTTTACATGGAAAGTGCTCAGACGAAATACATTCCTTGGTTCTACCATTTAGAACCGTCTCGACTAGGACCAGCCATACCACCCACATTGTAGTAAACCACCCACATTACCTCCGCATACCATTGGTGAGAAGTTTTCCACACGAACAGCTTCTTTCCGGGAACCACTGCTTTGTGGAAACAACTCCCAAGAGGTTGTTTCCCGATTATATATATGTATATATATATTTTATATATACACTGCGTGCCAAATTATTATCGAGATAACTATTTTTCCAATATTTCAAAAGCCGTCCAATCAATTCACACAAAATTTTCACACAATGTTGGCAATGACCTGCGCAATCACTGAAATTTTCGTACTGATCTGCGCAATGTAAACAAACTGGCGCCATATTTGTTATCAGAACGGTGATTTGAGCGTGCCATATTATTAGAAAAGTGTAAGAATCTAGAGAAAAGATGGGCAGTAAAAGCAGTTTAAGTGATGCTGAAAAGAAAACTCTCACCTCAGAACTCTCAAAAGGTAAATCTACCCTAGAAATTTCTAAAATGATAGGGAGGTGTCATCAAACAGTGAAAAAGTTCACCGCCGACCCTACACAAGTACGCAAAAGGGCAGATAAAGGTAAGTCGAGGGTTATTTCACATCTTCTCATGTCACTGCTCTGTGGAACCAACTCCCAAGAGGATGTTTCCCCGATTATATATATATATATATATATATATATATATATATATATATATATATATATATATATAGCAAAATAACAGAAATTATCTCACCATCGGAATAGACTATTTGAAACCGTCCTTTAACGGCTTTTCGTCAGCCACTAAGTACTTGTCTTCGGAGCGCTGTGTTAAACTAAAAACATCGAGTTCCCTGTGGATCTGTTTTTAATAATCATTATTACTAGGATCCAATCGGATTATATACAAACGGATCAATTACCCGTACTATATATATATATATATATATATATATATATATATATATATATATATATATGGCGAAGATTGCATATAGCATGAAACAGACTGTCGCCTCTAAGTGTTGACTTTATGTTCTATTTTATATATATATATATATATATATATATATATATATATATATATATATATAGCGAAGAAAACGGCGACTTACCTCGTCAAACCAAGCGACAGCGCGTCGCGTGTATTCTACGACAGAAAATGTGGTGAAAAAGAATTTTACTAATCAAACAAAAGGGCACGCATTCAGTATGACATGGTGAAAATGGAATATTTGAATTAAGAAAACAAGTCCATTGCAGGAGTCGCTATAAAGTATGTTGTTATGCAAATTACTGAACATCCTCTCTTAGCTGTCGACGAATGGAAAAGAAGACGTTCGGCCGATAAAAGCAGTTGTTGTTCTCGAATCGGGGAGAAAAAAGTCGGCGATTTTGGCTGCCGAGGGAGTTATTATTCTGACTGGTTGCGTGCATTGAGATTTGTGAAATAGTACTTGCGAATCGAGTTTTTGGCATTTTCTTTCTGTCCCCGATGTTCGAGTCTGATTTATTCTCGGCGAAATGGAAATAATCTGTGACAAACATTTCCTTTCAATCCCAGATCGCATATATATATATATATATATATATATATATATATATATATATATATATATATATATATATATATATATATAATAAAAAGGCTTAAACACTAATATTCCATGGTCATAATTTATTCCATTGTAATCGTAAATACGATCCAATTAATCAGACCTACAAATTCAAAAAGAAAACAGAAAAAAAAATGGGTATTTATATATTTTGCATATGTATGTATATTTACCACTAATATTATCTATCTATATATATATATATATATATATATATATACAGACAGGGTGTCCATAAAGTTCGTGTGCACTTTAAAAATTTATAAATTTATGTGTATTTGCGATAGAAATAATCTATAAAAAATGTTATAAAGTTTAATGTACCTAGTTTTAAGTATAGCTAAAATAACTAATGTGATTTCAGGCATTACTGTAAATCAGTTGGCAAATGTTTTCCGTGAACTGCAAAATCGTATTACCCTTTGTATTGCTAATGATGGAGGACATGTGGAAACTTAAATAAAACTTCAATAAAACCTTAAAAAATATAGATTTACTTTTTCTAATCCTTTTTACAAATTATTTCTATCGCATACAAATAAAGTTATAAAGCACACAAACATCATGGACACCCTGTATGTATATATACATATATACATATATATAAATATATATATACATATATATATACTGTATATATATATATACATATATATATATATACATATATATATATATATATATACATATATATATATACATACATATATATATATATATATATATACATATTTATATATACATATATATACATACATATATATATACATACATATATATATACATACATATATATATATACATATATATATACATATATATATAAACATATATATATTAAGAAATATATTTATATTAAAAGACATTTTTATTTATGTTTAACGTTGTTATTTTATATATATTTAAGCAAATGCTCTGTTACATAAACAGTATATATTTATGAACATATCATAGAAAATATATATTCGAATACATCCTATACGGAACCGCCATATATATACATACCATATATATATAAATACATATATATATGTAAACATGACGTCATATGTTAAAAAAAGAAATATCCGACAATTTATTTATACATTTATGTTTAATATTTTTATATTTAAGCAAACATATATATAAAATATATATATACATATATATATATATATATATATACATATATATATATATATATATATATACATATATATATATATATATATATATATATATATATATACATATATATATACATATATATATATATATAAATATATATATATATATATATATATATATATATACATATATATATATATATATATATATATATATATATATATATATATATATATATATATATATATATATATATATATTCAGGGAATCTTATTGAACGTAAACTTCCCTAGGTTAAAACACTTAAGCAAAAGATTAGGAAGCAAACTTCCGTAGTTGCTAGAAAGAAAGATAATATTTAGTGGGCTTGAGAAATTTACTTTCCTGCTGCTTTATCAGTTGAGGAATTGGCAGTGGTTCTCAGTTCAAACCATACAACTGTTCATCGTCATCTTCAACAACTTGGAAAAGTTCCTAAACTTGGAAAATGGGTGCCTCATGAATTGTCTGAAAACAACCTCAAATTCCGAGTTGACATCTGCTCTTTTCTCCATTCTCGCCAACTTGTTTCACCTTTTTTGGATAGACTTTTGACTGGCGACGAAAAATGGATCTTTTATCGAAATGTTAAGCGACCTCGTCTCGATCGTGACACTACAAAAAGCTATCCTTAATGCGACAGTTGATTTTAATAGTCTACACACCACATCAGCCAATCAAATCACTCCACGTCTGCTCGCTTGTTCATCATGGCTGCATGCTAATCTTAAACTTCAAATTTTCCCGACAAATTGTTCTATTGTTAATGACACCCAACAGAAAGACACTGGATAATTTTAATTTTCCACTTGATGTTCTACCTTCAAATATAACTCTGGTTCCATGTTATATTCTATTTTGTATTGACTATTTTCATAAATGACCCAGCTTCTAGACAAGCCATCAAGCCCATTCTGTCTTCTGCTACACTCATTGATAATGGTAAATGTAAGATGAGCTGTTTCCTATAAGGAAACATTCGGTATTCGTTTGGCGAACACTTAATATTACTGTTGGTTGAAATCTATAAAATCTTTCTCTTGAAACAATTTTGCAGGAAAGTAAATTTCTCAAGCCCACTAAATATTATCTTTCTTTCTAGCAACTACGGAAGTTTGCTTCCTAATCTTTTGCTTAAGTGTTTTAACCTAGGGAAGTTTACGTTCAATAAGATTCCCTTAGTGCGTATGATGTGTAAAACCGAAATTCGTAATGAAACCAGTACAATTCACAAATAGTAATGTTAACTATTCAGCAAACGTATACCGAATGTTTCTTTACAGGAAACAGCTAATCTCACATTTACCATTATCAATCTTTACCTGTTAAAGTCTAGGGTTAAACGTTATCTGCCCCCTCTCTTCCGCATAAACTGCCTCTTTCTGTAACCCTCTGGTGTCTTGTACAGTGTAAACCTCACAATTAAAAAAGTATTTGAGCGAAGAAAATATCTGGTAAGCTATCGATATGGGCTGGAGTTGATTTTAAATTCGAAACAGGAGAAAAATCTACAACCTCAAAGAAAGACTAATGAATATCAAGGAACCCGAACAACGTC